CCCAAAAGACCTATATAATATAGAAAGACGTGTGTAAATATTAAGTGGTGTTTTGTTTTTACTAACTCTTAAATATATTTAAAAACTGAATATCTAACTAAAATGCGTAAACTTGTATCAGATTTATCTACTTATGAAATTATTATAAGAAATCTTTTGAATTTTCTACAAAAAAAACATCAGCTATTTTAAATAATCTCAATGATAACGGTTTCCTTTTTAGTAATTTCCATAGCAACGCTTTGTCTCTCACAGACACTGCTTTGGATAAATGTTACGAATTTACAACAATTCATGAGGTCAATACTTCCTTGCGTCCGATTGTTTCTTCAATACAATTACTCGTAAATATTAGTTTTAAATTAAAGAATAAATTATAATATGCATAACTTCCTACTGATCATAAATGAATACCGCTAGACTTTACGTCGTTCACCTACATTCCATTAGAATTAGTGTTAAGGAGTATTGGCTGTAGAACGTCAATTCTAATTAACAAATGTAAGAATTCTATTCATAAAACTTATAAATGTATTAAGATCTTATTTAATAACTCTTTTTTTACTTTTGACAATGAGTTTTACCAACAAATTTTCGGCACTCCCACATCCCGTATTTTCCCCCCATTTTCAGACTTTGTAATGGATCACGTGAAAAGTGATTGTTATAACACTTTATAAAATAGATATAATGTTCTTTTAACTTTTTATTGTCGTTAGGTGAACCGCATATAACTCTTGATAAAAGAACATCTCATTGACAAATTTTTAACTATTCCCAATTCATACCACCCTTAACTACAGTTTACTCATGAAATTGAAGTTGACGATAAAATTAATTTTCTAAATTTGACAATAGCTAGAAACCCTTACCATTTTATCTTTGACTGCTTTAAAAATCCTTCTTTATCTGGACAAATATTTAATTATTTTTCAAGTCGTTAAATAAGTCTCAAAAGAAACATTGTTTTTAATTTAAATGACAGAGCGACGTTATTATCAAGTTCAAGGTTTCACTGTGCAAATGTTTTTAGAGTCAAGAATATTTTTATCATTAATAACTAACACACCATATATAGTCAACAACATATACAGGTATAGTCATGACCATAGCCATACATATTAGTACTTCCACTCCAGAGCAGAACAAATCAACAAAAGCTTCGTCTGCTCCATGTGGTGGTTGATGTTTACGTAGATATAACCGGTGAAAAAAGTGCCGTCTCCATAAGAAGCTATGTATAAGACGCTCACTTGTAACGCGTTTTACTAAAAATTTTCTGGAGCAACCTATGCTAAAATTTTGCACAGAGGTAAAAAACACACTCATTGACCGTAGATTTCAATTTCATCCATTTCACAACTACTTTGATAGGTGTGTTGAGCCTCCTGAAAACGACAAAGCTTTTAGTAAAGCTAGCCTAATTATGTTTCCTATGGAATCCCGATAACTTTTTCCNTAATATATAAAATATTTAGAAAATGATGCATCCATCCCTTTACTACGACAGTTTAAAAGTCCGAATAGAGTTGAACGCACTTAATTTTCTTCGCGTACTTTTGCTCTGCCATCTATACACGCATGATAATTGGAATTGTGTACTTTTAGTCTATCATTCGTTTTTCGACGATACTCACAAAATGTTAATTCTTTTGCGTACATGAGAGAAACAGACATATTTGTGTTCTTTATTAACTTTGTTGTGAGTACATTTTAGTAAGTCTTTAAAAAATGTGTAATAATTTTGTTCAGCCTGATGAGACTAGTACAAATGGCCAGCGAAACGTTACAACAATAAAGAAGTAGTGAATCTTAGGTACATTTTTGCATGTATTTATTAACTCCCTGCCAATTGGTCTCCAACGGATAACTGATCACGGACGTTTTCTACATCTTATTAGAAGGCACTGATAAGTTTCTAATATACAAATTCAATTACTAATAAACCTTATCTTTAATACTGACCTCAAGTCTTTACACCTCAAATCACCGAAACCTTGTTAGCGAAATTGGTAACGCTCTTTCTTGTCGAGATAGAGATCCAGGTTTGAGGCCTAATTGCGGTGGCACTGATTTTTTAAATACTATGCATGATAAATTGTAGCGCACTAGTTGTTTTCAGCTATAAAAATAGTAGGATGCCTTTGAATACTCACTTTTGATAGAAAATATATATAAGAAAGTTATCAAAAATCTTAACGTTCAGGACGCGCATAGTACTAAGTTAAAAGAGAATTTTCATTGTTGTTGAAATACTTAATTTTTATACACATTGTAAATTTTCACCGAGTAGGTATCGAACTTAATCCACGGTACATTTTTTCTGTCTTCATTTAGTGGCTTTGGGTCAAACTAAGACTCTGATGTACCCCATATAATAATATTTTTCAGATAATGTAGAGGACGATTTCACGATGTGAGGGTTGTCCCCGCTTAACTTAACTTGGGGCACTGTTAATTCCTGTGGTATCCGAAAATTTCATTTTTGTTTTTATTATATTATATTTATTATGAGCATAACATGGAAAGCATTACACCAGTTGCCCACGAGCTATCACAGTGATGAGGATATATAAAAATTACTTCAGAAGAACTTGTTAAAATTTTCGCAGCAGGGTCTCAAACCTGAGTCATCCTGACAGAAAGCAAGGACTTTACCACTTAGCCACTAAAAGCTACTACTGCAACGTGCTGCCTGCTACAATCAGTGAAAGCCAGGAAGTATCTGTAGTTAACATCACACGATGCTGATAGCACTTTTCAATTTTTAGAACCCGCCTATCCTAATCGTACGAGACTCTCAACCAACTTCATGGTAAAAACACAAATGAAGATGAAAAAATCTTGAATTGAGTGTTTGGAGATACACATTCTTATTTTCCTTATTTTTTCGACTTTTAAATCGATATTTGTCGGTAACATTGTAGAATACAATCACAATCACAAAGACTAAATTAAATCAAAATATATAAGGCATACCAACAAAAATACTTATTTTTTGCTATTTAAAAATTCGAGTATGTGAACCTAAAGTAAATAGTAGCGTGGTTGCTAAGGTTTCATCTGTTTCTCATACTTATTACGTAAAATTCCCACGCTACTGGATCTTATATTCAATTTTAAAACTGATATTTTTTTTTACTGTGTTTGTATTTACTAGCTCAGCGTGTACCTTTCTATTGTTAGGAACTACTCAATACCACCCAGAACAACCAGAATGATTTTTTCATTGATTTCACCATGTGGTAAATGAGCATTAGAAAATTGAACAAATGTATCCAGAAAGTTAAAAGTAAATACTGCAATTAGAAATAATTATTTGTAAAAATACTTTAAAAATTCTTATCTAAGATCATAGGGTACATTTGAGTTATATTTAAAAAGTAGTTTTCCAGGTCTAATTCTTTAAATAGTATATTTCCTAATTAAATCTTTAGATAATAGTTTTTTCCAAGGTTAAAGTTGAATTTACTGTTACTGTAACAACAACATTGATTGACGCGAGTCATCAATACAAACAATAACCGTTTGCTCCTTCTGCTCCAAACTCTGAAATTCTGTTTTCAATAGCTTCAGCTAGATTACTCAGGCAGCCCACGTGGAATCTCCGATTTTTTCAGTGATGCGCCGGGTTGGGATTAACTGGGAAGTTTAGTGGGGATCTCATTAACTAAAGTGGCCAATTCATTAGATTTCTGATGAGTGCACAGCTACAGTACCTATAGATTCATATATCTACAGGACCAGGACCTGCTTTGAATTTCTCTTAGTGTAGAGATAAAAATATCTGCATATTCTTCGTGGGTCAGTCATTCGTTTTTTTTTTTTTTTTTGTGGTACGTTAGAATTCTCACGTGAACCCCCTTTTTTAAAGTACAGAATTCACAAAATAAATAATGAAAGACACAAGGAGATGTGTAGGAAAATTTTTTTGTATGCTTTGAAACATTTAATTGGATGTTTCATATTGGATGTTTAGTTATCAACTGAGCTGTACACGTGGCCAAAATTTCACGTAAACGAAAAATTCATTGCGTAGTCAACTATCCATGAATTGATTAAATTTTCAAGCTATTGTGTCTTTATAAATGTAGGATAAGTAAAAAATTAAAGTGACATTAACAAACTCATGTAAAGAGTAATTTTCTAATTTTATAATAACAATATTACATTAATAGTATTATTAATCAATTCGAGTTTATTTATTTTGAGAAATATCATAAATAGTAAGTTTTGTTTTTATGTCCGTAATCTTAGTTTGAAGGTCCTACAGTCATAAATATCGCCTAAAAATCCTATAAACTTTTTAAGTACTGATGTTATTATAGATATAAGAAGCAATGATAGCATTGGACAGAGCTTGATTTTAAAACTGGTGGTGCAAGAGCTTGTGTTTTTGTACTATCATTGCATGTAATTGTATGACCTTACAAAGTTTAATGTATTCGATTTTTCCATAAAGGCTTTTTATTGTTTTTCTCTTCATGCAGGCATAAGAACTATGAAATCTTTCTCATGTAGAATATGTTAAATGTATCTGAATTCTAGATCTCTATTCTTTTGTACACTAATCTAAGGTTATGAAGGAGTAAGTAGTAGTGTGGATTTAGAGGGTAAACTTATACACAAAATTTTATAATTATATGTTGCAAGTTAAAAGCCTATATTATATGGGGCGTATTAAAACAGTGCTTGTTTTGTAACAAATTTTATGTGTGGAATATAGTTCGATAAAAAAAAAGAAAAAATACTGATATTTACCATCAATTATTTTATCCATACATTATCATTAAACATATTACTTATCTAGTTTATAAAAACAACTTTTGAATGGCTTTATGAGATATGAATCTTTTTTTTTTTAATTTTTTGTACTTACAAAATCATTTTGTAGATCTAACAACTACTCGTTTTAAGTTCAGTAAACATATAAGTGATATTTATATGACATTTGTGAAACTATTGGTAAACTATAACAACGACGTTTTTTTTTATTCTAGATGGGCAAAACAAGAGTGCTTGCCTTCTTCCAGTACTTCTCAAGAATCAGCTGGTATTATTCTTGACGAATGCTCAAAAAAAGATAAGGAGGATGAAGAAAATGAAGAAAAAATAGAAAAAGATGATTTTGTTTCGTTAGAACGAACTAGAAGAACCGATGAATACAAAGATGTTTATCGTCGAGGATGGGGTAACCGACATAATAGAAGTTAAACAGACAACAAGAAGAGCAGCAAACATATTGTAAAAGCATGTATACTGAAAGTATCAATACATGAATTTTATCTCTTAATCATAAGTTATTGTTAAAAGTATATTTTTCTTACGAGCGCCATCTGCTTGTAAGCTGTTACGTTAATGTTTTGATGATTATTATTGAATTATCTTTTATTATTTATTCCTCTATATGCATATTAGCATATGAGAATGTGCACATTCACTTGTACGAATAAGCAGGGCTCAATTGTATGTAATAAAGTGTGCTTATAACTTTCTAATAATTTTTGTATATAAAATTACTACATCAAAAGTATTCTTGATTGTTAGGATCAAAGAGACCTTTTAGCTTCCTCGTAACTAGTAGCTAAATCAATAAAGGTAAGTTTTCACTTATGATTGCCATTACCTGTATCCATCCTCATACTTATTTGGCATTCTGTGAGAATCTGTACTTGAATTTTTAGTTATTGGTTTTTAAACTGCATAAAAAAACATGAAAAAATCTATTAGTATTCATGAAAAAAATTAAGGTTTATTTATCAATTACTTTAATTAAATTTTGCTTGGCTTCTTCTATATTTCTTTTTTGCACTTTGCTGATTCTTGTTGCCATTAATCTAAGAGCCATGGAATCTATAATTTCATGTACAGTAAAGCAGCCAAGATGTTGCCTCTTGCTCTCTTTAGTATCGTAGTGAACTACCATTAAGTGAGAACGAGTTATTTAGTATAATTATATATGATAGTACTGAAACTCTTACGGTTGATTAGTTTTTGAATTCTTACTGGTTATTGTACTATTCTTAAAGAAATAATACTTTGAGATTGTAAACTAACAAGAAATTAAGTTTTCATTGCCAGTGTCTATTATAATAAATGCCTAATAAAGCACGGAATCGTTTGTTTGGGCAACGGGTTAAGCGCAATAATTTTTTTGAATAGAAAACAACTGTACTTCTCACTTATGCAAGTGCTCGCTTTCTTGTATCACTATCAAAAAATAATCATGGTCAATTTTTAACTAGCAGGGCAGCATTAGAAGCAAAATTTGAAGAGAAATATCTTCAGAAATCAATTTTAATTATAACAAGAAATAAAGATAAATATTAGCCATAATGATATTAAAGAAGTGATAAACAGTAGTCTGTGCGGTTGCTGATTGGTCGATGGTCCATTTGTTTCAAAATTATCTGGTTTCCCTAAGATATAAATCTTAGATAAAAATCAAACTGCTGAGTCATGCAAAAGTGAGACACAGGGCCGCGTCTGCTCTTATGTGTTGTGCTCCTAGAAAAATTTTTAGTTGGATCGAGTTTTTTTTTTTTTTTTTTTACTATAAAAGCAAAGACTCGATTTTTCGAAACCATAAGTGAGTGTTGTATTGCAGTTTTCATTTTCCGTTTTTTAACATAGTTTTCATAACTTTGGTCACACTTACGATTTTTACTATTAACTTTTATTTTTGTTGCTTTTTTTTATCATACCCCATAAAATTCTTATGGCATACAATGATTTAGTTAAGAACTTGAATAAAATAAAACTAAATAAGTGACTACAAGACCAGATTTTTTCGCACGCTCTCATAGTTTTTCACTTGGCATAATAAAAGGAGATTTGTAATCTCCAGTTAATCCTATCTCTATTGATAAATTTATTTTTTCAAGTGTTAATAAGTGTAACATTATTGATCTACTACCTCGTAGTCAATGAATCTAACATGGTAGCATTGCGTTTTTTAAAAATTTTTTTTATTTTACGTGTTCCTTCAAGGGACGTAAACATTGTTAATTAGCATACGCATGAAAAAGACGGAAAAATTTTAAAGTGAAAATACAAAAGTGAAAGGACTAATAAAAGTTATCAAGAGAGTTCTAACTGATATTCTCATATTGAAACGATTTATTTTCTATGACCAAGAAAATTTCATAAAACAAGCCAAAATGACGGATGAAGTAAAAATTCCGGTGTTTGATAGAAAAGATCATGAAAGTTAGAAAAAGAGAATCACGATGATTCTAAAATTGAAGAAGTGTGACGTAGTAGTAACTTGAGCCAGGTCAATGACGGATAAAGAAGAGTGGATCGAAAAGAACTTCACGGTGATTAATGTAATATATATAGTAAAATTTCGAATGATCAGTTACAGTTATGTTAGTGAAAGACAAAGGAACGGTGTACAAAATAATAAAGAAATTTGATGAAACGTACATGAAATAGTCTACTGCACTACAAATTTGACCAGGGAATAAATTAGAAAAATTGAAATTGAAAGATTTTCAAAATTTAACAGCGTATATAACTAACTTTAAAGTATTAATTGAGTTGAAAAGTGCTGGTGCAAATGTGACTGAAAAATAATAATTAAGCTACTTAATGGAAATGCCTCCAAGTTCGTTAATTTATATTAGTGACTTAATAGATGTGTTAAAAGAATCTGGTTAAACAGTTAAGTACGTAAAAAATCAAAACTGAAGCAAAAACAGTTTAAGTGAAAGAAAAACAGATGGAGCATGTTTCGAGTGCGTAAAATATGGATACTTCAAGGCATAATGTACGAGGATGAGACAAAGTGATGATTCATAGGAACAAGGTGGTGCGCAGCAGAAACAAGGTAGGTGCCATCAAAAACAACAACAACACCAAACAACTACAGCAGCAGTGGCAGCATCAAAGTAGCACTGGCGGTGGCTGAGGCCAGAGTCGTTGATCTGGCAGAGACTCTATTCAAAATGGTTGAGGATATGATTAGCAGCAGAATAATCAAGGGCATTAAAACAAAAATGATAATGTGAGTAGTTTTCATGCGGAATTTGAAGAATGACCTAATAAGTTGCGTGTTAAAGTAAACAGCCATGCTATTGAGGTTGAATGGTTACTCGATAGTAGTTGCTCAGATTATGTAGTAAATGATAATTAACATTTTTATAAATCTATTGAATTAGAAGGTTCTATAAATGTATAAATAAATGAACGTCGTTTTTTAAAAGCAACTAAAGTTGGTAATATAAAACAAAATCATAATATTTAGTAAAAAAAGTAAAGTAAATACTAAGAAAAATGTTTTTTACATAAAAGAGATGGATATCAATTTAATAAGTTACAGAAAAGTAACTTAAATTGATAAATTGTTTCAATAGGAAACATGTCAGAAATTTTTGATCTAAATGAAAATTCAGTCGCATTAACTATTTAAAATAATAATGTTTATCATATGACAAGTGAGATGATAAAAAGTGAGTTAAATTAAATGACAAGAAGCAAATTACCAAACAATGAAAAATGACATAGAATACTTGGTTATGTAAATTTCAACTATTTGAAAATGATATTTGATGAACAAATGCATTATGGTTTACCCAAAGAATAAAAATCATATTTTTTTGAAAGTGGAATTTGCTTGGAAAGAAAAATACGTAATTTGCTGTTTAGAATGAAAGAACAAGGGTAAAAAAAGTGTTTGAAATTGTACATACTGATTTAAATGGACTCCATAGTACTATTTGTGTAATGGTTTAAATGGTAAGAAACATTTTTCAAGTTTCATTGGTGATTTGAGTACAGAAACCCAAGTATATTGTATTTAATAAAAAGATCAGGTACATCATTGTCTTGTTACCTATGTAAAAGTAAGACAGAAGAAAAGATAAAAAGGTCAAGATGTGACAATGGAAAGGAATATATGAATAAAGACACGAGTAATTTTTCAAGTGAGAGAGGTATCTCTATTATACCGTGTACACCTTAAATGCATGAATTAAATGGGTTGGCAGAAAAGTATATCAGGGATACAATGAATATGTCTAGATGTTTCCTGAAAAAAGTGAGGGTACATAATACATTTTGGCCAGAAACAAATGACAGTAGAATTTTTGTGAGAATACCAGAAGAAAAGAGAAATTATAAATAGGACAAAAAGGCAGGCTTAGGAACTTTGTTGGGTCCTGAAAATGTTGGTTTCAAAGTTTTTATTAATAATAAAATTATAGTAGCTAGGCACATTGATATTCTCTTAGACCTGTTTCTTATAACGATGCGATAAATAGTGATGAAAATTGGATAAAGTCTGTAGACGGTATTTTTATCGCGAAGTAAAGTTATCCTTGTTTCTGTTTTAAAATAAATTTTTTTAGTGTTAATAAATGTAATAACATTATTGATCTACCATCTCGTAGTCAATATATTCAACAATAGCATACTCTGTCTTTGCTTAATGCCTTGTGTTTAGAACTTATAACTCAGTAAAAAAGGAAGGCTTGCTTCTAAAGATTATAGCAGGTATTTCATTTTTTGGCTTGAAAACTTTATAATGACTAGTACTATGAACAGACTAATAAATGCTGACGTCTAAGTGAAAATTTTTTTTTTAAACACAGTCACATTCAGAATGCGAATATTTTCATTCCTTTAAATATACTTGGTAGCTTATCTGATCAGTTAATTAATAAGTATCACAATTTGTTTTGTCACGTACAGTATGGAACATACTACGTGGGATGGGCCTCAGCTATTAGTATTAGGAAGGAGCACAAGTGGGGGAAGAAAGAGCATAAAAAGGCCCGCAGCAGTGGCCGCAGGGCTCTTAAACGTCGGGACTAGAAGGAGGATAGTCGCAATAAGTAACTCGGTACCGCAAAGCGCCTTCCCTCAAGGAATATAGCAATAAAGAGATTGATTGAGTTTAACTGCCACGTTGTTATTAAGCACCCCGAACCTTTAGAATCCTACGTAACAGTTTTGGTGCTAAGTGTGGGGTAGGTTTTGTCGCGAAATAAAAATTTTTTTTCACACGTGATATTTCGGAATTTTCGGGCAACAATCGGGAAGCACACATAGTGCAGTGCAACAACAGGTGCAGAAAATTCAAGGCAGTCCCCTGCAGCTGCTATCGAGTAAGAAAGGACAAGAGTCAACATCCAGTTTCAAAAGGAACCATCGTAAAGAGGATGACTTGGAGTATATTAGCGCTCATCGTCTTGTGCCTTCTGTCAAAGTAAGTAATAATTCTTTTTATCCTCCCAAATATATATACTTATTGTTCCTCGGGGTTGTTTAGCTAAGGAAACGACGTACAAAAAATAATACCTAACCCGAATATGGCTAGTTCCGCTCGTTTTAGAAGCCAGTAGAATAGAAATACAGAATCGGAAATAAAATAGGAATCCTTTTTTCTCTATTATTTCTTCGTGCGTGAACTGAAATCAACTAATATAATTAAGCTCACATCACTCTATTATAAAAAAAACGGGGAAAAAAATAATGATGTCC